TAACTCCTAATCTTTTCCAACTTTTTCCTAACTGCAGAACACCTGCCGAGAGCTCCCATAGTTATCTTTGTAATACAGATGAAACATGGTGCGTGCAAGAGAAAACTATGCACACATGACAAAAAAACTCAAAGTATTGCCAGACTGTCCATTTACTATGGGATTCTTCTTGTAGCTCCTCTTTTGTGCAAGTAAACTCACAAAATAGCAGTGAGTTGTTGTTTTATTAAACAATGAGTGAATAAAATCCGTCTCCATTGCTGAAATACTGAATGTCACTTACTTAGTAGTTTAAATGAAGGTAAGTAGGAATATAAATCTACACCACCTACCTGACCTTCACTCCTTCCTTTATTTAATTTATATTACATCACTTATTTTATCAGGTCTTAATTTCATTACCTGTCTCATAGTGGACACTGTTTCTTCCTCTGATGAGACACAGCTTTTTGAGTAAAAGCATAATAAAAACATACACTTATGCAGAAGAGCTCTATCTTGCATATTTTCCACATTGCATGAGATTTTAACAATCCACCTTGTTACAAAACATTCAGTTGCTTCAGGACTTTCAAAAGCATGTTCTTTGCTGCCTTCATACCATTTGGAATCATTCCCTTTTCCCCTCCTTAGATGTATTAACACAACCAGATTCTGCTTTTCCCACCCCCAGGATGAGTGTGCTGCCCTGAACTGCTCTTCACACTAGTGCAGAAAGCAAGAGAAAACCACAGGCATGCACTGAAACCAATCTTAAGAGTACCAACAAACAAACAAAAAAAAAAAAAAACACACTGTAAAAAATTGAAGACACCAAACAGTTCTGTGTCCTATTCTAAAAAATAGTGCCGTTTTCTAAGACTGGCTTATCTCCACATAAGGGAATTGGAAACAGTTTAAAGAATTAGGGTTCCTTCACTAAGAACATATTCAGATATTACAATTGAATGTGCATTTATTTTTATTTAAGAAAATATTCCCTTTCCTTGGCCTAATTTCTTCAAAAAGAATCAAAGACTGGAGATAAGCCACTCACAACACAGGTGTAAGGTCTGTCCAGGAAAACCAAACAGTAAATCAAGAGAGCAGGGCACACAGCTGGATACAGGTACACCTATGACACAGCTCAAGCAAGACCAGAGTGTCCTGGATCAGCATGCAGACTACACAGTGTACTGCAGTGGGAAACCACAGCCATCAGAGCAATCAAAAAGCCCTGACACAAACCAGCCTGCAGCCTCTAGGAGAAGCTGTTGTATACTTCACTGGCTCACATACCAACATCTGTTTCAGTTTAAGTCTGTATCAGTTTCCATTTTAAGGATTTTAACTTGAAACTTTTTGGTAGAGCTCAGCAGTCATAAATACATAAGAAAATTCTCAGCATTGTTTTAGGAATAGATAATCAGAAAAATAAAAGTACAGGACTTGGAAAAAAAATACGTGCTATTTTCAAGTGATGAAGTATCAGCTGCAGTTGAATAGTTATGATATTGCTTGCCAAAAAGTATGGTACTAGCTTTTCTACAGTATTTTCCATTAAATAAATATCTGCATCCATCACATACATCTATCTGCAACAAGAAATAAAGATTAAATGCAGTAACATACAGGTTTGCATCCTGTTACAATAGCCATGAGATACTCAAATCATGGAACTTCCCTCTCATCTCAGGAGAAAGAGGTACATGTATCAGTGACAACCACTTGGAAGTGTATTTACTACATTGAAACAAGAAAAAAAGCAACTATGTCATGAATGTATCTGGGTACAAATAACCAGCATTGGATAAATAAAGAAAAACACACAACATTCATTAGCAGCTGGCTTCTGCGTCTTCTCAGCAGAGTAGGTTGGTGACTAACTGGGCTCCTCATCACAGCACAGCTGTGAAAACACACAACATGAAAACAGCCAAAGTCTGAGGTTCCCAGTCAGGTTCCTTCATCTCAGTTCCTCGCTGTTCAATTAACAGCATAAAACAATCTCTGAGTTTACTGAAGCAGGAGAAGCTTCTAAGCTGAAGCCCAACTCCTTTAGCAAAGCCTTTCCCAGAACATGTTTTGTTTCTGTACCTTTACAGCATACTGTAGGATGCAAGAATACAATAGCCTTTCCTCACAAAATTGTCCAATTTATTCAGTCATTAATAAAGGAAAATTATAAAGATGTTTTGGGCACTTAAAAACATTTTACAAAAAAGATGCAAGAGTGTATAGTCTGTACGCATTTTCTCAAAGCTTTAGAGAAAACCTAGTATAAAGATCAAATCTACAAAGTTACTTTACAGTATATGAATTACTAGAGTAGATTAATAAAAGCAGATTTCAAATCAAAGGAGACTTGCAAGTGGGAATAGTTTTGAAAGAGTGCAGCAAGTATAGGACTGTCACAAGAATCAATATTATGATGAATACTGTTCTTTTCACAATCTCTTAAGATTTATACAATGCCACACAGACTGTAGTGACAATATTCATTTAAACTACAAAGCAGGGGCAGTCAGCATTAAGCACAAAGGTTAGAAAATTCACATGCATAAAGGGTTCATACTACTATGAAGAGGACAGTGATGGAAAACAAAAAGAGACATAACATTTTAATGAGTTATATCCTACAGAGATTTGCAGGAATGGCCTATTCTCAGAAACAATTGTGTTTTCTTTGCTCTCACCTTAGATATTTGGTACAATTACCACCAAAGGAACAGAATGATACATTTGTGAAGTTGCAGTTATACAACCAATTTCTTTTTTTATATATTAAAAAAAAAAAAAAAAAAAACAATGAAATCAGAATACCTTAGTACGAGAACAATGGGAAATATTTTGTACAAGTACCAAAGCTCTCCTATTAAGAATACTCCTTGTCTTCAGAATGTCATTTATTTATTAACTCAGCTGAGAAAAATAAAACGTATGGACAGAATCCCATGTCCAGCCAAACGTTACACCTTGGGTTTAATAAAGCTTGACTAATATGATCATTCCAGTCAAAATTCTGCTTCATTTTCTGATTATCTATTCCTAAAACAATGCTGAGAATTTTCTTAGACATTTTGATTATGGCAAACATTAAAAAAAAAAAACAGTACTACCTAAGCAATCTTTCAGAAGAGAAAAATAAAAATTCTAATTAAAAATTGCCAACTCCCATTTCAACAAATCTAATCCCTTAATTTGTCAACCTTTCAAACACTCCTATCAGCCACAAATGACACCTAAGCTCAGGAGAAAGCTGTAATTACTGCAGTGATTTTGTCAGAATGTTACAAAATGCAAGTATTTCAGTTCTCAATTACAACTGAAGGAAAATGGCAATAGTTGTACAACAAGCTGTTGATCACAACACGAATTTTTAGGTGGCTTTTTTTCTTTTCTCTGACACATTTTCAACTGGTACGGTACAGGTGACGAGTGAAACAGAGCACGCACCTTCCCTCTCTAAATTAGCAATGTAACTGTGGCACAGAAGCGATCCCACTAAACAAAAGACAAGCATACCGCCATTGCGCGCTTTGCAAACCCAAGTAGGCGAGAGCCACCTCACTATCTTCTGCAACGAAGATAAAGGCTGATTCTCAGAACCCCATGTAGGAGATTATTATTTTGCATCATTGTCTCAAAGCTTACTGAGGAGGCAGATGAACAAATTCAGGCAAGTCCTGGGCAAGGGCTGGGAAATCCTTTGTCTGAGGGGCACAGATGGACAAGATCAGGGGCAACAAGAGAGATAAGCTGCAGCTTAATGGCCGTGAAACGGTCTTTTGTGTGGGCTTATCTCGAGGAAGATGGCCATCTCAGGGGGGTATTCACATGACTCTTGCTCAAGCACCCAGGGATGTCACGTAGGCAGAAAGAGAAGAAGGAGAAAATGGGGATCTGCAATCGTGAACAACGTGAGGTTTTCTGGCAACAGATTCCTCATGAAGAAGAAGAGGTTTCTGCCATGAAGAAGCCTCACGACCTGCCTCTCTCCCTCCCGGACTTCTTCTGCACTCTCTCCCTCCCAAACTTGCTCTGCACTCTACCACGATGCTGAAGAAGAACACAGGTGTCTGCCATCAGATTCCTCACTACGGAATGCTTGCATACTAACGGACTCTCCTGGGCTTGCTACCTGAGTCCTGCTGCTTCCCCATGCATTGGCTCTGCGACTGCCTCCTGCTGCCTGCTTGCTGCCCAAGGCCGGCCAAGCCGCTGCTCGCCCCCCCGCTGCTTCTGCCTCGGAACTTCGGAACGTCGTGCAACGGGACCGCTCCTGGATCCTGGTGGTGACTATCCCCGCTTTACGGCATTCTTGCTTCTTTCTTATCTTTTCTATTGCCTTCCTTCCCTTCCCCGTCTCCCTAATTAGGATTTATAATAAACTGGTTGGACTAACATATGAACCGTTGTTTCTTAATCTCACACCGGATATACAGATATTAAAAGAACCTCATCTCCCTCCTATAAATTGGAGCGAGATACCCCGTGCTGAAAAATCTTTACTGTTCTATCCCTCTCTAACCCAACCCATTCTACGGCTTCATGTGTCTGCAAGGCAGACAGAAGCACACACACCTGCAGCTGTGTGGGGACCAGCCCTGCTCCACCTGGTTCTGCCTCATACAACTTCAACGGAGACATCAGCTTCAGGTTAGCAACGTGCATAACTGGATTACTGGAAATACCCAAATATAAGCAACCGTATTAGGAATCTCCTGAAATTAGGTCGTGACACCCAAAAGACACAGCATCCTTTTTCCTTGCACAATCCCACCGCCCGAGGAAACAAAGTCAGGAGACTGCTTCGTGCAACCACAGAATAATGGCTTCCTCTTAGACTGCTAAACACGGATGGTTCAAAGACACACGTTCAAATTGGTCTATGTTAGCCATCTTAAAACAGTTAGAGCAGAGGTAGGCATGAAAACCTCCAACACCGCGTGCCACGACCACAACCAGACCGGACGAGCCGCCCCTCGCAGCACCACACTGCCCCGCCACCGCGTCCTCACCTCTACCTGAAGCCCGGGGCCGCTGCCAGCCAGAAATTCTGCTTCCTCCTTCGACTGAAGGGTCAGCCTCGAAGGGAAGGGCAGCCCGTCCCACTGCTCGCTTCAGCTTGCTAATCACCGCGCGCAGCGCAGCTCAGTAGCCAATGGCCGTGCGGTGCTCGCATTGCACCTGCAAGCTTCGCACAGTTGGGCGCGGATGGAGTGCTGCTACCTGGTGGCTTCCACACGTGCCTTCAGCCGCCTTAGTGAGGAGGGGCATAAACGGGCCCAAGGCCAGCGGCACGCAGTGCTTGAGCAAACCTTTAGGTGTCACAGCGCTGAGCCACCAGCTGACTGCTGCGTTCTCTCTTCTGAGCCTTCTGTGATCACACAGAAGACCTCCACTTCTCCTGATCTTTTACTTGGCAAGACAGGATGACAGAGAATAATTAAATGTGTGTGTTTAGGATCAGTAAGCTTCCTGTCAATTACATGCAACCACTGAGAGCTTTTCTAGTGGTAGGTCTCATGTTTTTTCATTATTTATTAAATAGAGACGAGCAAAGTAACCCAGATATTAATGAGGCTCAGGGTTTGTGAACTGTGATACCTGCCGTGCTGTGGGCATCCCACATACCTCATCGCCTCCACACAGCAGTGAATGTTTCTCACACATTTGCTCTTGTGCTCATTGACAACTGGCCTCACAGGGCAGCAGACATCATGTGCTGGCTTCTCCACGGACCGACTACATTAGGGTCTTCACTGGACAGCCTCTGATGTGGTCACTGCTCTGCTCACCTTACCCCAGCCCTCAGGGACTGCAGCTCGAGGTGAGGGCTGCTGGCAGTGTGGGGCAGCGCCCCGCAGTGACCCCAACCTTCAGCCAGCTTAACACCACCACCTCACGTTCCACCATCCACCTACAGAGATGCCATGCGCTGTTTGTCCTGTAAGTACTGCCTGCATTTGGGGAGCTAGATATGTGGGGTTTTATACCTTTACATTAATACACAGTGGTTTTTTGAATTCATCTCAGCAATCTGGATCAGTGGCCAGGCTTCTGTGGTATTTGTCTTAATGTAATCCATGGTAATTGTCATAGATGATCTCATGTTTTCTTCTAGCTCATTGATAAAAGCTGTGAAGGACAAAGAACATTAAGGATCCTATCAGACAGATGTCAGCTGGATGATAGTTTCCTTCTGACTTCTCAGTTATTAATCCCTTAAATGTAAAATTCTAATCTCTTAGAACATCATTCCTTGTTAGATCTGGGGTTTTCTTGTGTTTATCTGTTTTTATTATATTACTGTTTATTCACCTAATAGTTTTGCATTACTGACACAAAGGCATGATCTTAAGTAAAGCCAAGCAATAAGGTGGGCCACAGCTCTTTCCTTATCAAAGTATTTGGCCTAAAGTTGTACGTAAATAAAAATACCCCCAAATTCATTGCTTAAGGGTTATTTCAAAGTTAGCAGTTCTGCTACCCTGAAATAGTCTGCTGGTGTTTTTATAGAAGAGACAATGATTAAATTCAAGATCTTTTATAGAGACAGAAATGTAGACGTGAGCACGTAGGAAATCCCAAACACTCAGGGAGAAGGGATGACTATAAACACACCAAGTAGCTTCACATTAGAGTAATGGAGAATCTTCAGCGTAACAAAACTTTAGCATGATAATTATTTATTTATGTATTTATTTGTACTGCACTTATTAAGGAATGGGTTCTTGACTATTAGACTTGGGTTTTTTTTTTTGTGTGTGTGTATTTTTGTTTGTTTGTTTGTTTTTAACTAGTTTATTCTATGGTACTTTCCTGAATATATGCTCTATATCACCTCTTAAATATCTTTATTATTTTTTATGTATTTATTTATTTATTAATAGTAAACTGGGAGAAGTTGTGGGGTATTTTTTGTTTGGTTGTTTTGGGGGGAGGGTTTTTTGTTTTTGTTTTTTAATTGAGCCATACCAGTTAAATGCTTCAAAATATATTTTACATTGTTAATGATGTATATAATTTAAACAGATTTGAATAGCTTGCTATCTCAAAAATAATAATAATAATAATAATAATCTAGACAAAATGCATGAAACTGATTTCTTTTCTGTAAAGTGGGCAATTCAAACTAATAGAAACAACAAAAAAAGTAAAGGACTGTGTGTCTGTTCATAGCAGGAGGCAGGACTCCTCTGATGGACTGATGCTGTTGCTCATCACCTTGCACAGTGATGATATGTGGAATTCTATGTAATTGTTCAAACAGCAAGAGCAGTTTCCGAAGTAATCATCTTTATTTCAGATATTCATAACTTGAATCCACACCTTCATAATCCTTTGTTATATCCCAGTTCCTACAATAAGATAGGCAATGCACAGGTGGGTGAAAAGATGTTAATAATGAGCCATCAAGTAAGTGCAAAAACATAACTACTTTTCTATTGATGTTTCATTTTATTTCTTTGTCACTCAAAAATTAAAAGGAAAACAAAAGAGAAACACTGAAATTAATAACAACAACAACAATGAAAAGTATGCTAAATATTGCAACTTTCATGTTTTAGCCAGCTGTTAATTTCACTTTAGCTTGTGTACAAATGTTAGGCATAAAAACAGTATGCCCCATCAGCTGTTTTCTTATCTGCTTCCCCATGGAAACCACTCTGCAGATTTTCAGTGGTGTGAGTAGGTATTTCTGTAGGTCCAAAAAGCTTGAAGGATCAGACCTGTTGTATGCTCAAACCTGTTGGTTTTTCATTACAGGAACAAACTGTCCTGCAAATAGTTAGAGACAGAAACACACCTCTGTGCAGTCCCTTCAATTGTTCACTGCAGGCACTAAAGACAGAACAAAGGTTGGGCAACTCATGTCTTTTCCATGTTTCTCAGGCACAGAGCAAAGAGAAATGTGAATTTGTTTCCTACCAAAATGTCTCACCCAACAGAGAAGGGAATTAATACAAATTTAATATGCTCCTGCTTAAAGTTCAGCACAGAATCTTGTTCTTTTATGCTGACTATTACACACTGATCTCAGGTAACCCAGCTGTGTAAAAGAGAGAAAGAAGAAATTAAAAGTACAAAGTGTTATGGCTTTGTTCTTTGTCCAGGTACCTGCAATAATTTCTGAATTAATTTCAGTGTCTTTTTCACAGTAGCATCATATTTTAGTTTGATTCTGCATTTTCCTTGAAATTAAGTGTTAACCAAATTACTTCTAAATAAACAATGATTTTGATAGAGTATTCCCTTCAAAATCCATTATAATTCACTGTCTTTTCTTCTCTGAAGACTATATATATTAGTATTTACTTTTTTTTTTTTTTTTTTTTTTTCCTCTGCAAACAGGCAGCAATGTTTGTAATAATCAACCTACTTTTCTTCACATTTCAAAGTGAAAAAATACACACAGTACTGTCACAAAGTAACAATCACCTTATTCCAAGAGACTGATGGTAAACCACATTGCATTTATTTCTTGCTGCTACGAGCAATACAAATTGCAGGTGTTTGTACTGACGTTTGTTTAATATGGAAATATATTTCCAAGGAAATACATACTACATGGCATCTCTAGCAGTCATTCTCACCATTCTCTATCAGACTGTAAACATGTGGGTGCAGACAAAGGAAACATAATTGAAGTAATATTAGTAATCATTTTAAAATGTTTGTAAATGTTGATGATGTTCTTTTACCTCTTTTCTAGAATAGGTTCAGTAACAAAAAAAAAAAAAACCCTCAAACAATGATGTTCACAGCTGGCTTCTCTCTCTGCTTCTGTTTTCTTTATTATTCTGCTCCCTGCACACCTTTTACACAGCCCCACGGCAGTGCTTCTTCACACCAATACGAAGCACCAACATTCTCTTTGTTTTACAGCACATAACCTGTCGTTTTGCTGCACAGCCTACTATAGCCTCCTCGTTTCCCGCATAGACTGAGATTCAGGTCTCAAATGATAACAAAAAACAAAACATTCCCACGCCAGTTTCATGCAATACACAGCACTTCAGATAGGTGTTTATGTGGAAAGCCAAAGCTTGTAGTTTGCTGCAAGATCTACTGCCTTTGCAAATAGAAAAATGAGTTTTCTACCCATGTCATGATTAAAATTAAACAATACTTTGTGTAATGGCATGTCTAAGTAGTAGCCCATGTATTCTTATACTACAAACAGGTATACCCATATGATCAGAATTGTAAGAAAAATAATTGGTAAACATAGAAAATTTTCCTTTGTCATGCTTTTGTTTATGTTCATTTTTTGAAAGATTACTAAATGAAAGACTGTACAAAAAAAAAAGCTACCACCACTGATAATGGAAATCGTATTTTGTTGTGAAGGACTGTCTGTTTCTTATTCTTTAATATTATTAATCATGAACAATTTAAGCAATTCCATATTCACTGAATTTTTTTAGGGTATGTGTCTAAAAAAGGTACACTTTAATACAATTAGTAGTTTATCTTTGGCTGATCAAAGTCAAACTCTGAGAAATCCATACACATGTGTTTAAGTCAGGCATTTCTAGCCTGTCCTGCCTCAACAAACTCTCCACAGTAACAACCAATAAAAACAAACTCATTGTTGCCATTATCTTTTAAGATCCCTCTCTGTAATGGAATTTCAGTGGATTTTTTTTCACAGAGATAGTGGTGTATTAGCAATAAGCAGACCTTTATTATAGTGGGGGGAGGAGAAGATGTGGCTGGTATATGTGATTTGGAGATCTCAGTGCTCCTTACACAAGAATGGAGGCTGATAAAGATGAAGGGACCTGTGAGGGACTCCAAAACCATGTATACCTCTTATTTTATGTTATTCTAATAAAAGCATAGCAGCTTCTACAATTCAGCTGTCTAGTTCCATTGGCAAGAACTATATTTTTCAATAAATCATTTTCAAGCCTTTTTTGATATCTGTTCCCTTGTGTCAATGATATGTTTCTGAAAACGCAAAACCAAAAAAAAAAAAAAAAACAACTCTCCTCGGCTTTTTTTCAGTGTTAAGTACTAGAGGAAATGGATCCCCAATGCTGTCATGCACTTATAAACAGTTGTAACTATATGGTGTGTTTACAGTAACAAAGCTCCCAGTAATGTCTTTTATAGTATTTGAGGTACTAGTTGAAGCCTGAAGGCATGAATTTTGTTATCAGTTGTTGCTCTCTTTCTCTCCTGTCTGACTCAAACATGTCACTCTGGGCCTTTTTCCCAACCTATTCCTGGTCTGCTTCCCTTGCAAATTCTTACAAGAAGACAAGATCTCTCTTTCATGAGAATCCTACCAAAGTGAGGTATTAGTAT